AAACGCACAAAAATCCGATATATCTAGACATTAAAGCTGATCGCGTAATGGCCCAACTTAGATAAAACATCTCCGCACTCACTCTCTATGACAGGCGGAAGCAATCAGAAATATTCCGGGAATAGCAAGTGCCTACAACAGCCACGGTCTGGCAAGGCTGTTTTCGTGGATTCCTTAGAAGCAAGTTGATAACGGAATTTGATCCAGTAACTTGAAACAAACTTTTAAATCCCACAGTTTTCTAGTTTAAAAACACATTTACAAAAAGCAGCAAAATTTATTCAATATTCTGGGCTTTTTCCGAATAGATTAAATTAGATTAAAAAGCAATGGAAAGGTATTTTAAAGTAGGAAGAAGAGAAAATAATATTAGGAAATTAGTAAAAGTGGCAAAATTATTTTGATAAAATTATTGTAATGGCAAGTCTCTTACAAATCATGTCTGAACCTTGCATGCGTACTCTATCATTCGCTGGCCACAGCTAAGCAGCCGCAGCAGTTCATTGCAGCAGGTTGCGTAACCGTGACGGCTCCCTATTTTGCACTAGTGTTTGTAAATTTATGCAAAAACACGCTGGAATGAAAAAAATAATGCACCCCTCCCGCCGTCCCTCCTTCAAAAAAGCCAATTTTTTTTCACTCACTCCGCGAACATATTAGACTAACAAGTGCTGCTTTCCCACCTAGCTTTTACTTACCTAGCAATTGGCTAGGAACGCTTGGCCCGGGTTTTAGCCCGAGCACAAGGCTGTAGAAAACAGCTTTTCCTCTGGAGCCTTGTATCTAATAAATAAAAAAATGTTGCAAAGGATGGAGAAATGAGACAAGCCGAGGCTGTGGTAGGAATTTGGGCTTTCTTGGCACGGAGATGAAGCCAGCAAGATGCTGCTGCTCTGTATTCTCCTAAATGGCTTCCGTCTTCTTTCTCAGTATGCAGGCTAATTTCGCAGACTTGCTATAGTTCGGCGTCATTCAGGAAAAGGCGTTTTTGAGCTATTGTAACTAAGTGGATGGAACAAATTTTTTTGTTTTCCTATTCTGTTTGCCCTTAGTCCAGTGTCGTTTTCTTGCTAGCAAATTGAATTTCATAATGAACTGAACCAACAAACAACCAAAAAATCTGAAATCGCCCAATAGGATATGTCGCCGTTTTCAAAAAGTCATTGAATTTAAATTCCAAATACTGGATTCAAATTGTGAGGTCC